TGGCCGGCCAGTGCTGGGGCCTGGGCTGAGCCCGGAGCCCACCCGCGGGGCGCACCGGCTGCTCAGCTCCGCACCCTCCCTGGCTGGGCGGGCGCCACCCAGCTGGAGATCCGGCTTCCTCCGCAGCCAGGCGGTTGGTCCGGGAGACAGAACCCCGGGAGCCCCGTGTCTGCCGGCCGGGGAGTGACAGGCCGTGGGGCTGGGTGCTGCCCCCTCGCCTCACCTTCCGGTAAGTGCAGGCCTGAGCCCGCAGGCGGGTGGGACCTTACATTCCCATCCTGGACTGGCACCACTCACCGCCCTGGCCCCAGGTGCCCTCGTGCCCGCCACCCCAGCTCCAGAAGCGGACCAGCCTCGCCTGCCTGCTGTGGGGCTGACCAGCGGCCCACTCTCGGCAGGCCTCCGCGGAGGCCCCTGCCCCACCGTCCTCTCCTGCTGGTTTGGCCCTGCTGCCCGCCACCAGGGCTCCGGTCACTGGGCATCAGGGGGTCTCCAGGTTGGTCCTTAGTGCCGCTCGGAACATCCTAGGGCCTGTGCCTGGCAGTGTGGCTGGGAGGCGAATGCTCCCTTCAGCCCAGCCGCCCGGCGGCCCTCCTGCGGCCCTGAGGGGCTCCCAATGGGCAGATGCCCCCGGGGGATGCCCAATGGGCCCCCCAGGACTTTTTTAGAGCCTCTGTGAACGGGATGCCTTCCTGGGGAGGTGGGGACTATCACCATGTCCTGCACAGAAAGGGGGGGTGTCTGATCCGCGAAGGCACCCACTGACCAGCTGGACCTGCTTCTGAACTCCTGCCCCAGGTCTGAACCCAGAGTTCAGGCGGTGGCACCTGACTCAGGGCGCGGAAAGGCCTGGCGAGGCCACTGCGGGAGGGAGGCCCGGCGGGGCTGGCACCCACTGGCTGGGTGAGTGGTGCCAGCGCTGCGGCCCCGGCGGAGGCTGTGACCCCTGTGCTGAGACAGGACCGGGGCGGGGGGCTGCAGCGGCCAGGAGTCCTCCCGAGACGGGCAGCCCGACAGGACTTGGCGCCCGCTAGCGAGCCATGACCCGGCAGCGGAAGTCCTGGGCTGGGCAGCAGGTGGCGAGGAAAGCGGAGCCCAGAGATGCCAAAGTCACAGCAGCGTGAGCAAGGAGACACTTCTCTCTCTCAGTTTTCTTTTAAAGATGCATTTATTTATGCACACGAGAACCGGGGCGCAGGCCAGAGGTGTGTGGGGTGAGTGGATGCCCCAGAGACAGTCGGGGACAGAACAGGCGGATCCACTGACACCCGCTGCTGAGGGGACAGCGGGGGCCAAGGGGTCTGCTGCGCCCTGGGGCCCTCCCTGGCCAGGGTCCCCCTCACGCTGCAGCGGCGGCCGACACATCCCAGTGCTGCGCCCCAGCCCGTCGCGCCACCGGGGGCCGTGTCTTCCCTTTGACAGAAGCCTCAAGGAGAGCGCCGGGGCTCCGCTGTCATTGGGGCGTGTCCCGCTGTGTTGCGCTGTGATCTTTACATGTGGGTTCCTCTGCACCCCCAAGGCGGCTGCTCAGGCTCCCGCCATCACGTGTGTCTTTGCCCGGCAGGGAGGGAGGAGGGACTGCAGCGCCTGAATTTCAGGACACCCCACTGCAGCGTGGGTTGCTGCCCCCACGGCCACACGGGCTGTACCAGCCGACCTGCCGCTGCTGAGCACAGCGGAAGATGACTTTTTTGGGAGTCCAGTTACCCTCCCGGGAAATGCGAAGAGGGCAGGGGTGTCTGGGGAGCCCCCCCCGCGGGCCGTCACTGAGTCGGCACCGCAGGGTGGGGCCGCGGGGCACAAGGGGCCCAGGCCCCGGCGGTGGCCACCTCCCGAGACGCTCTATCCCCCTGTGAGCGAGGCCGCAGGCAAGTCGCTTGCCCCGGAGTGCCCCCAGGGGACCAGCCACCCAAGCAGACCCGCTGAGGGCTCTGGAACCTCGCCTGCCCGTGCGGGGGCCAGCGGCCCCTGGGCCAGCGGCAGCGCCCCTCCACCTCCGGCAGCCCCCTCTGCGCCGAGCGCGGTCTGTCTGCGCCGTGTCGCGTCTGCAGGAAGGCTCACTGAGGCGCGGCCAGAAGCCCCGGCCGAGGGGCCGCCCTCGTCGGCGGACCCTGCCTCTGCCTGTGGGTGCCGGGTGGCCGGCCCAGAGCGACTTGGGTGGCCCAGACCCTTCTGGTGCTGGTGTTCATGTGTGTGGGGCGCTCCCCCAAGGCGGCCCCTTATTTGTGGGGGGTTCTGCCGACAGGCATGCGAGCTCTTTGGCCTTTTTTAAGATTTATTTATGCAGACAAAATTGGGGCACAGGCCAGAGGTGCAGGGGCGGTGAGAGGATTCACCAGAGACAGAGAGGGGAGCAGAACAGGGAGGCTGAGAAGTCCACCGTGTGGGGAGCAGCAGAGAGAGACAGGAGGGGTCTGCTGAGCCCTGAGGGCCGCCCCCCACCGGGGATGGGCTGAAGCGGCTGCGGCCAGCTTGCAGCGCTGCGCTCTGACCCACCGCGCCCCCAGGGAGAGCCCCCTTTGGCTTTTTTCTGGGAGTCACGGCACCAGAATATTTGTGTAGGGGGCTGGGGGCTCATGGGGTCTCTCTGTGTTCTGTTAGCCCGGGCCAGAGGAATGTCCCCACGGTCCTCAGTCCCCCCTCCCCGTGTCCTTTTCGCCCACTCCCGGCAAGACTGGCCATCGGGCCCTCTCCCTCTCTGTGGCCTGCACCCACGGCAGCGCCCGCCTGCAGACCAGCCTGCTCGAGCCAGGGCAGCTCAGGGCAGGACGCTGGTGGGACGGCGAGAGGCTGGGCCAGAGCCTCAAGTTCCCGCTCCTGGCTCCGTGGTGGGGGCCGAGGGAGAAACGGCTCTTCCCGGGCCTGGCCGGGCGAGCCGGCCGGGCTGGGCGGCAGTTGGCACAGCGCGGCAGGCT